CATAATCAACAGGGCTGAAAACTGGGTACATTTCTAAAAGTTCTCTTGCAACACAACGTCTATTTCACATTTTTTTAAAGATATTTAATAACTTTTATTTTTATTTCTTTTGTCACTTTTTCATTTGTTGAGAAAAAAATGTGGCAACAACAGTTTGTCGTAGTTAGCGGGCTCCCTGTGTAAATACGCATCAAAAACAAAATGSCAGAAAATTCAAGATGGTGGATCATATCGAAAATGTAATAAATATAATTTAAAAACCCATTCTGCTGTGCTTTCTTAGTCATTGTAGCTCTCATTGTAGCTTATTGTAGATCATTGTGGGTCATTGTAGCTTATTGTAGCTCATTGCGCCTTTTAGTAAAAAGTACGATTTCCCCAAAGGGCTTTTTAGGTCCTTTAGTGCGAAATTCGGAAAATAAAGTGGAATAAGGTATTTAAATAACTTACATGTATTCTGTATTCAATTAATGCCCTTCATTTTACTCATTTCCACTCCCATTTCTCATTTTGTACAGTTCTTCCACCCAACCTTTGACTAATGGGTGTTTAAACTTGCCGCGAGTACTATCAAAAAATTCCTGCAACTGTTTTGTACGATTCTCTTCTGTCTCGTACTCAAATGCTTGTAAGATCATCTCAAATCGATCAACATCCTTAACAAAGTTTGCTTCTGGTGTTGATTGGTTTTCATATTCTTCCCAGAGTTCATAGAGCTCCCGACCAGCTTCACCACCTGCTAACGCCGATAATTCTTCCATAGCTTTTTTTTCTTGTAGGTGTTTTTCTTCTTTAGGAATTCCGCATGATGGCGTTAGGTCTCCTACTATACATTCAGCAAGGTCATGTACCAATGCCACTTTTATGCAGTGGTCCTTGTTGAGTTTGGGATCWGAGTTGCTGTCTTGATTGCCCAGCAAAAAACATATGATTGACATTCGGTACATATGGTCTGAAACACTTTCTGGCGACTTAACATCTCTATTCACCCATCCTGTACGCTTTGTAGCTTTTAACTGTCCGACTAGCGTTAAAAACTTTAAAATATTGCTCATTTTCCCTGTGCATGCAAAACTTCCTGGAGTGTTAGGAAAGAAAAWGTAGAACTGTCCCAGGCGTTATTTTAGAAATTGAGAAAGACTGGGAGCTAATCCTTTTAAGTAAAGAAATGGTTTATTTTTCAGATGTTAAACGAGAATATTTTTTGACTGTTGTTTATTTAATTATATTTATTATTTTATTTCTATAGTCGATTAATGATTTTTTTTTCTTTTTGCCAAAAATTTTCCTTGAGACGTTTTCTTGAATTAACCGCTGGTCTAGTTATCGCAGATTCTTCCACATTGATTAACGGGAGTCTCTTCGTGCGTGGACTATTTCGTGGTATTTCAAGGAATTTTGTAGGTTTTCGAGCGTTGAATGCCAGAGGAACCATGGTAGGCAGTAATCAGGTTCTTGAAAGGGTTGAGAAAAGAGCTCTTGAGGCGGAAGAGATGGTAGAATTGCTAAAACAACACATCGATTGTCTACAAAAAGCAGTTGGTAAGGCCTCGATCTATTGTAGATTCATGTGTTACTGGCTATCCCCTAAACGATTATTATATGTAATAGGACTCCATGCTGTCCAATTAAGAAATAATTGGACGAGGAAAATTCCGAGGACTGCCAAAAATTGGACGAGGCCGTGGCCGAGTCCAATTTGGCAGTCAGAGGAATTTTTCGAGTCTAATTATTTCTTAATTGGACAGCATGGAGTCTTATTACCTATTAATTATATAGCCACATATTGATCCCAAATAGGTAAAAGCCAACCACAGCTTTTAACAAAAACCCAATTGAAAACCTGTCCAATTAATTTCTTAATTGGACAGGATTCCAAAATTAACGAAAAATCCAGCTTTTACCTATTTGGGATTAATATGTGGCTATATAATTAAGAATCAAATTAGCACGCGTGTCCGATTACAGTGGTAGCGCCTTTGATTTCCAAACCAATAGCCCCAGGTTCGAGACTCAGAAAAGTCGGCACTTCTTTGATTTCTTTATTTGCCAAAAAATAGGATAAATTTCAATCAAATATAGCACAGGGAAACTAGTTACGTAAAATTATTGAATAAATTATCATAAAACAATTAGAATAAAAATATATTTCTGAACACAAGTAACGTACTTTCAAGTTTACAGGAAAGTGAGTGATTAAGTGAATGAGTGACTTCATGAGTGACAGATTCGTCCCCCTCCAATAACTCTTCGATTGCTTTGCAATCTTCGAGTTAAAAAGCCCGGTTTTCAACAATAAACTCTACACAGAAGAATCTTTACTTTGAACATAAATATGACTGTGTACAATGAGAT